AAAGATGAAAAACAAATGTCTGCTATTTATTTAATGTTCATAATGATAAATGGTAATAAACGTGTCAAAAGATACTTCTCTCTCTGTTTTTTTTTAACGTAATCACGTATACAATATAAATATTTCGGCCAAAATACCTGTTTCAGTTAAAATAATTACTCCAGTTGACTTTGTTAAATCTTAATTGTGTTTATTAATTTGAATAAACCCGACGGTTTAATTTAATATAAATAGATTGAATTAATTCAATCCAATTTAATATTTAATACTCAAATACAAATGAATATAGACTAATTTAAAAAAAATAATTTAAATAAATTTTAAAATTATAAATTTTAATAAAGTATAGTTTTGAAATACGTGATCCAAACTATCAAAATCAATTCAAGATAGTATTTATTATTTTGTTTATGAGTTAAATTATTTAATATATGTTTTATAATTACTAACCTCTTTTAACATTTATATAAGTTATATTAGTCACTTACTTTTATATACTCCATGTAGTATTTATTATTTCATTTATGAGTTAAACTATTATTAACATGTTTATAATTATGAATCACTTTTTAACATTTATGTACTCCCTGTAGTATTTATTGTGAAACACATTTTGGAAGAAATTGTTAATTCATATTTTATAATTTTTATATAACTACATATTTGTTTTTCTTGTTTATTGTTATTAAATATTATAAATAATTGAATTTTGTATCAATGAATTTAGACATTGGTATAACCTAACATTCGCATTTCTTACTCGTTTTTAACGTACGTTGTTGGGAGTAGCGTTAGTACATGCGTAACGCAACTTTCACCTGGTCGGTTCAATGTCCAATTAATGTGTCAAATTCTGCAGCTTGCACCAGGAGTCAACTTTTTTATATCCCTTCCAAATCTTCATTATTCTCATTATTTTTCCATCCACTTGAAAAAAAAATTCATTATATCTTCTCATTATGAGGATTTTCTTATCATTATATTTTTTAAAATATACTAAAATATGATTATAATAAAGTTCAAATTTAATTTATGATATTAAATTTAATCTTATAAAACACTATACGTTTTTACAAAATTATTTATAAAATTAATCTTAATTTATTAATTCATATTTTGTTTTATTTTCAACCGTGTCTGCAGATTCTAGGAGATATACAGAAAAAGGCATCAAAATGTGAATCATGTACGATAGTTAAAAGTTCTTATTTAAATATAAACAATATTCTTGAAAAACTATACTTTATAATATTTTAATTAATTAACATGAAAAAAATGTCATGGACCATCCGTACTATGTTCTTTGCATAAGAAAAAAAAATCATAATCAAGAAGAAAAATGTGGTATATATAGCCGTCCATAATGTTGTGTTGACTTTTGACACCATTATTACGTGAATTAAATTAAATTTGTGTACTACAGCTATCTTTTTGGTCAAGTCAAATCAAATAAAGTTTCTATGTATTAGATTTTGTTTCATCTTAATTCGAGTATAAGACATTGCAAGCATTGTTTCAACGTATTTAAAAGGAATATTTTTGAAAAAAAAATCCACTATAATAGTCAATTGAATATTTCAAGACAAAAAGTCAATCATCAACAAACTTCATATTCATGATAATTAAAAAAACGAATATTCTTCAACTTTAATAGAAATAATAAGGTTATTGTTGTTAACATTATTTTTATATATCGCATGCATTATTTCTCCGTATTCTAAAGGTACGCCCCAATTTTATCATAATATATAGTGGTTTGAGAATTTTTTTTTATTTTTTATTTTCATATTTTTAAATTTAGAAAATATACTTATTCTTATTTTTTTTAAAATGAAAATATTAAAAGAGCATTTGATTAATTATTATTTAATAAACTACAACTTTTATATTGTTTCCTCATTCATTATAGATAGATACATGGATTGAATTTGCGGAGAAGTAAGATGAGGCTTGTTTGCATAATGTGACGAAGAAGTCACTCCGATGATTTTTCAATTGATTATAAATGTTATTGTCATGGGTGTTTGAACTTCTTTGTTGAAATCTTCCTTTTTTTACTTGAATTAGGAAAAAAATATTAATGAAAAATTTACTATATTTATACAATCACGAACGTGTAGAGATGTATAGAGCTAATTAAGGATATCAAATATAGGTTTAGTCCAATCAATCCATCTGAATGGTCCAAGGAATAAGTTATGTTAGAAAAAAAATTGTAATCTACGTTATTTTAGTTATGACATATGAGTTTAAGTTAAGTTAATCAATAAACATATGAGTTGATTCATTTTATAAAGTAATAATTATTTTTTGAAATAAAAATAAACATATGAGTTGATTCATTTTATAAAGTAATAATTATTTTTTGAAATAAAAATAAAAGTAATAGTATTTTATTACAAAATATATATGTATTATAAATTAATTTGACAAAAATTAAAATAAATATTAAAATAAATATTTAATCATCACTCATTTCAAGATCTTATGATTAAAATTAATTATTATTTTTAATTAATAAATTACTTAAAAATAAATATGATAATAAAGAGTATATTTTTAATTCTTATTTTGATATTAAATGGATATAATCTCTTATAATTTATATATTAAATCATTACATCTTAAAAAAACTGATTTTATTAATGAAATTTAAATTCTCAAAATATATTTTTATTTTTATTTAATTAATTAATTTTATATAGATATACTAATATTTAAAAAAAAATCAATTAAGCCAAATTTGATCAACTAGCCCATTGGCCTAATATAGGGCTAGATTAGGCTAAAAATTTTGGCTTGTTTTAAACTATAGGTCAGGTTGAGCCATCAAATTTTTTTACTTGGCTCATAAGATCAGACCAGACTGTGTTGAGTCACTTGTTTTAACAACTCTAAACGTAATTATGTGTATTGAGGTCACACGACTAAGTTTACTTACTATAGATTCGTGACCGCCTAAATAAGGCCAAGGACCTAAAGTCCATTAAAAATACTCAACAAAAATAATATAAATAGACAAGAATTTCAAGATATGACCATTATTCATTTATTATAAATATTTTCTATATTAATATTCTGGGTCAGAACGTTCAATTCGTCCTGAACAAAGAAACAAGAAAATGACAATCAAAATAACGACAATAATATATCAAAATACTCATCCATTAGTTAAATTATAATTACAATTTGATTTCGTAGGAGTTTTCGACCGTGCAAGAATGAAAAATATTTTATACAACTGAACCAAACACAAATTTATATAAATTTATTAGTTAAAATATATATATATATATATATATATATATATATATATATATATATTATATTTTGACCCTACATTAGTAAAAAAAAAATTTGTATCATTATAAATATGAGTTTTGAAGTATTTAATATAAAAAAAAACAATAAAATTTACATTAATTTGTATTTAGATCATGGTGAGCCAAACAATATATATATCCTCAAGCATGAGTTTTTTTTTTTTTTAAATCTATTATGAGTTATCGGATTACAATTATAAGTAGGGAACTAATTGATGGATGAAGGTGTTAATTGGCTTCTTCCACTTTCTAGGTGTATGTTAGCCGTCACAAAGGAAATCAAGCAAAGATTGGTTCAATGGGAGTGAAACATGATTGCTAGGAGCTAAGAATGCTTAATTCAAAAGTCATGAAAATTAAAGTGTTTTAATTGACCTGCAATATTAATTCGAGTTAGTTGAAGAAAGTGTTTCATGAAATCAATTAAAGACCCCGAGACTTGGCCAATATATCTTGAATTTTGTTTGCCATAAGGATTGCATTTTCATCATGGTTACTAAAAATTAATCATAACGTGTCAAACTCTAGGGTTTGCGTGTCATCAAAGACTTAAAAGATTGCCAGTGGAATTGTTAGGATTTATTAAAAAAATCTAAAATTTATGTATAATTCTTTTTACATTGTGATCCAATAATTAAACTATTGTTTCTGCATAACCAAGTTTGATTACCTGTCTAATTTGTTTCTCATTTCTTCTTTTTTTTTCTTTTTTTTTTTTATCTTGACCTAAGTTTTCATGCAATTTGCTTTATTTTTTTATACCACTTAACCTCTACCTAATAAAAGCATTCACAAGATCTTAAACTTGCGAATCTTAACTTTGTTTACCTAAAAATTACTTTCATGCTAAATTTATTAAAATTAGTGTTTAACTTAGTTTTATGATAAACTAAGTATTAATACTTAAAATACTTTCTATTGATTTACATATTTTTTTTATGCAACATTTCTTATATAAACAATTTCACATCATTTACCCTAATGTTAAATTTTATTAATATTATTTTTTAACTTTAAGTAACCTACATCTGCATTGCATTGAAAATGACCTAAGATTTTTAATTGATCTTAAATAAATCTGTAGTTATCCAAAATTATTAGTAAACACTAAAGCTAGCCCGGGTAAAAGGTTAAAAACATCAAATCATATTTGACCTCACCAACTCCTCCATTATATATATATATAAAACCAATTAACAATTTCATTTAAACTTCTAATTGATTAGTCAATAAAATCATAGATTATTAGTGATTAGTCAATGAGTCTGGGTTTTGGCTGTATACGGCCAACAAGTTGCAGAGTGAACGCATCAAATTATTATATTGACAGTTCTGACTGCTTGAAACAAGCCAAATTATACATTATGTACGGTGTACGGATTTTGAGATTCAGTAATTACAAAAGCATAGATGTTGCTTATAGGACAAGTTTAAAAAATGTTCTTTCTTGTGTTGTTAATTTAATGTCAAATTTCTCCCCTCTTGTATGTGACAACCACACCACACATCATCTCTATAAAAGATCACAACGCTCATAAGACTCACCCACTTGAGCTTGGCACATCTCTTGATTCTTCAGTCTTATCCTTAATCTTGCCCTCACCTCTCTTAATCATATGCTGTCAAATATTCTCTTGGCAGAAAGTGAAGAATTACGAAGATCAAAGGCGAGTTCTTATGGACATGGGAAAAGAAAGATCTCTTGAAGAAACTCCAACATGGGCTGTCGCAGTGTGTTGCTTCTTCTTTCTTGTAATATCTTTGATCATTGAGTTCAGTCTCCACAAATTGGCTGAGGTACTGTTAACTAAATATATATATTTTTCAGAATTAATTCACATTCAAGATTGCATTGAAAATTTCAATAAAACTTGTTTTAATGACACTTTCTAGCAAGAATTTTTTATTTTAAATTCTTTAATCATTGTTCTAGACACCAGTGAGCATTTGTATGGTAATAAGTAAACTTCAGATAACCAATAAATCTATGAAGAGAAGCAAATTATAGCAGTAATAGGAATTTAAAATATGTTTTGGTTCCTAGTAAATACTTAAAATTGATTAAAATTTTCATTCTGATGTATAGTTTTGGTTTTGCATTGTAATATATATGCTCCAGATTTCAAGGAAAAGGCAAGCAAAATCACTCGGGAAGGCATTGACTAAAACCAAAACAGGTTGGTTTACCTCTGGAATTAGTATTTTTATTAATTATCTTTTATCTGCAACTTGCATGCATTTTACTTTCTTCAATGATGAAGAATTTATTGTTAGTTTTTGATAAATGCTTATAAATTTGGTATTCTTGCGGTTTGAATGATAGAAATGATGAAATTCGGTTTCATGTCGTTTCTTCTCACCATATCGGAAGTGCCAATCATATCGAAAATCTGCATCAGCAAGGATGTGGCAACATATTTTCTCCCATGCAAGGATGCTGTGATCTTAACAGAGTTAACTTCTGCATCAACCTCAGACTTGGACGTAGCACCTGCAACAAATGAATCTGCAGTTGAGGTCAACTATTGTAAAGCAAAGGTGAAGGAAGTTGATTTAACTTTATAATTAATCATAATTAACTTCATGATCAAACCTTCTGATACTACGTAGATAAATAAAAAAACTGCAGAGAACAGTTTGAATGTTTTATATTCATTCATGAAACATATACAATAAGATAAATGCCAGTAATGACATAATCTATAATACATATTCTATTATTAGTTAAAAAATAGAAAATAAAAAGATATTAAAAAAACTATTGCTAACATTTTTCTGTGTAATAATTCCTAATATAAAATGATAATATACTAACTCCGTATAAGATAATTGAAACACTACGACAGATAATAAAACAAGAGATGTAGTTTACTGATAGATAGTGTAAAATAATATTGCTATCCAATTTTGAATTTCTAAACATGATAAAATTATTTCTATCCAATAAATTTCTAACAAATATGATAAGTTTATTGATTTTTATAAATTTCAGAAATTATAATAACATGTATTTTATTCATCAATATATATAATAATTTTCCATCAAACTACATAAAATAATTTAGATGAGAAATTAAAAAAAAAAAGTATGCAACTTTTATCATAATTTTTATTTAACTGTTGAATATTCTTACATTTCTATACAAATTAAGGGTTATTTTCAATATTCTATGCAGTGTTAATTTATTCTTATTATAATGTATCAGTTTTGATGTACAAGTTAAAGAAAAATCTTCTCCTTTTGCTTGTACACATAATATAGAACTTCTATTGAGCATGCAGCTCAGAGAACCCTTTGATATTTTTTGTATCAATTTTTTTTATTGCTGTGATGAATGCAGGGTATGGTTAGTTTAATTTCAAGTGATGGAGTCCTGCAGCTAAATATATTCATCTCCTTTTTGGCCGTGTTTCACATCTTGTTCTGCACTTTCACAATGTGCCTTGGAAAGGCAAAGGTATGTCCACTGTTTTCAATCATGTAGAAATTAGAGGGAAGAATTTGTCTGCACATAACAGTTTTGATAACACGTAACCTAAGAACCATACACTGATTTTTCTATAGTAGAATTTTGAATATTGTAGCTATATCACTATCAACATTTATAAATTCTAATTCAAAAACAAAAATACTAATTGCTTTGGCAGAACTCATCACTTCTGACCCACACCTTGGTAATGTGCCACAATATAAATTGATCAAAGTGCTGAGAAAGTCAAAATTGGTTTGGGACCAAGAAAATCAGATATAAGAATATATCTTTGTTCTCATTTCCATTATATTCATTTAAGGACCAAATATGTGGTTTTGCTATATGTTTAAATGGGAATTATTTTATTTTTATAAAGAGAATTTTTGAAGGAAAAGAAAAAGAAAAGAAAATCATTTTCCTATATTAATCCCTTCATTCTGCCATGGTTTTAAAATATGTTTTTTTTTGTTTAAGTCTCGATTCGCACTTCTAACTACAGAAAATAATGTAAACGTATTTTCATTTTCTTTTAGGGTTTTTAAACATTTTTACTATTTTAATTTTTTTCAATTTTTTATACAAACTTTTCAAAATTAAAAATTAAATGAAAATAAATGACATTTTTATGATTGAAAGCGAAAGCAAAAAATATCCTCTCTCAAACTAGATGCCACATGGTTAAAGATGAATTTTCTATTTCAATGATAGATAAAATTCTTGGATACACATTAATCTTAACTTCATACACTTCGAAAGATTTATCCTAAATAAATAAAAAAATGATAATGTGTAAAATGTGTTTTTTCTGATTAAGGGATTGATAACAGTGCAATTTAAAACCAAATATCTAAATTGAAAATTAAATTTATATATTCATCTTAACATATATAAGCACATTATAATTTTCTTACGATGGTAGAAGCTTAAAAAAATAACTGTTAAGAGTCATCATACTTTACAATACTAACTTAGCTCACAACTTACTTTCAAGTTCCAGTACAACCATTTATTAGGTTAATGCACGATTGAAATTACAGTTTTTTGTGACAGATGAGAAGATGGAAGAGATGGGAGGACGAAACTCAAACACTTGAATATCAGATAGCTAATGGTGACCTAATTTCTTGACTAATTTGTCACTGTAGAGTGTGTTGAGGTTTTGGAAGAAAAATTATCAACCACTGTTATATACTGTTATATTTACTTTTATCCCTCCCTATGCTTTCCTATTACAGACCCAAGAAGGTTCCAGTATACAGGTCAAACATTGATTGGGAAGCGTCATTTGAAATTTTGGAGCTATCATTCTCCTTTGCTTTGGATGGTAAGTGAATGCAAATGAAAATTTAACATACTAAAAAGTAATTTATGAACCCTAATAGTTTAATTTGGTTACAATTACACTGTAAATTCACTCTCCCAACTAAATAAAATCATGCTACGTGTAAATATGACCTATAAAATATTCTTAACTAATTAAATTCGAAAGATTTAAATAAAGCCTTTGTTTTATTTATAAACATCAACAACCTCAATGAAAGTAGTTGACTTGTACTGTACATCATGATTCCTTTGGACCAAAAAAACATGCATGATGACTGTTTTAAGTATAGCTCTGTAAGGGATTGTCTGAAATTGTTCATTAGAAAGTTAGTTTGATTTTGTAGAGTATAGCTCTCTTTCTGTATATTGTCCTCCTCTCATCTGATTTTATGAAGTTACATGTTCAGACTCTTAAAATATCTTCAATTCTGATGTTAAAAATGCTAGGAAATCATCCAAATATTCACCTATACTGATTAAAAGTCATATTGTGTTATCTATATAGGTTTGCTTTATTAGGCAGTTTTATGGCTCAGTCTCAAAAGATGATTACTTTACTCTACGAAATGGGTTCATTGCAGTAAGTGAATCATCTATACCAAAACCCTTATTAGGAATTGATGGTACTCTTTGAGCATCAAGAATTTGGACCAGATTTACTGTTTTTATAGGTTTTGGATATACTAGATCGATCCTAATAAAGGAAGTTGTCAATCATTCTTATTCCCTCGTGACACCAAACACAGTTTTTTTCTTTCCTGAAATTGCAGGCTAATATTTCTTTAGGCAGCAATTTCAACTTCAAGAAATTTCTTTCCCGTACTTATGATGAAGATTTTGAGAAGGTTACGGGAATCAGGTACTCCCTGTGGTCAGATCAGAAACAAGGTTCTCCTAGTCATGTGGACAACCAGTTTCGACTACCTCAATATTTATGAAGCAGACTCTTGTGGTTACAAAGAGTAAATTTCAAGGCCAAAAAATTCATTAACCCAAGCTTTTTATGCTCCTGCAGGATTTGGATCTGGATTTTCTCCATACTTTTCATCTTTTTTAGTGCACATGGTATGACTTGTGGTATTAATTTGTCACCAGTATTCATCCCTGTAACAATGAATGTATCTCTTGTTTGGATAATACTTTTAAATAACAACATTTATAGGACAATAAAATGAATTAAGTTTCTCTTTTAAGTAGTACATATCAATTTGTATTTCAGCTTATATACAAAATTTCTCATTTAGTTTCTTCAAAAGTTTATTCAAACAAGACTATAGTTTTATGGGATAAAAAGCATTATATTTAACAAATGGTTCCATTTTGCTTGCAGAGTTCTATAATTACTACTGGCTTCCATTTATTCCACTTGTGGTACAGTTTATACTATTCACAAAATACTGTTAACCTCAATAAATTGGTTGTAAAAATGTGAATTTTTTTTTTCTTTCCTTTGTCGTGACTTATTTTGATGTCTGCTTTCATATTCTGTATTAAAGTTTGCTTTACTTGCTGGGACAAAACTGCAAGTCATAATAACAAAGATGTGTGTAGATAGTTGCAAGGAAAACCCAGTGATCAAAGGACGTCTACTTGTAACACCTAGTGATGCGCATTTCTGGTTTCATCGACCTGAATGCCTTCTTCATTTACTCAAGTTCATCCTTATCCAGGTAGATATTATCAGAAACATACCATGGATGAAAACATTTAGATAATTCATCATCAACAACAATAGATGAAAATGAACATGCTTATATGCTTAAACATCCTAATGACTACACCTGTTCCTGTTTTGACAGAACTCCTTTCAACTTGCATTCTTCACCTGGACTTGGGTAAGTACTGAACTCCAGAGATGTTTATATTTTTATGCTGATTCTACTCACAAACAACAGTATGAATATGGTCCAAGGTCTTGCTTCAATCGAGAAAATGAGGACATTGGCATAAGGGTTGCCATGGGTATAGCTGTGCAGCTCCTTTGTGGTTATGTCACACTTCCCCTTTATGCACTAGTTACTCAGGTGAATATATATTAAATCCATTAGATGTTCATTTCACTTATCTGATAGCTTCAATTTTTCCTTTTTATGGGTCAATTGCACTGAGTTTATCAAATATAGTTAAAGGCCTACAAGATTTAATTTGCCAATGATTATGTCAAATTTACATGTAATTGGGGCTAATTATTCACAGAGGAAAAGTGTTATTCACAAACTCTCACATACACTCTTTATATATATATATATATATATATATATATATATATATATATATATATATATATATATATATATATATATATATATATATATATATATATTAATCAAAATTTATTAAAACTTACAACTCACATCAAATTGTCATTACAGATGGGTTCTAGCATGAGGAGAGAAATTTTCACTGAGAGTGTTTATAGGGGCCTCAAAAATTGGCACAAAGAGGCTAAACAGTCTCTGTCCAAAAACAGCAAACACTCAGATTCTGTTCATTCCAAAGGAGGTGACAATGCAGCAAGAGGAACAATGGATAGTGTACACACCCCAGATAATGTAGTGCTCACAAACAACCCTTCTCCCTCCAGTGAGGAGAAGAGAACTATTCCTACCAATGAGCAAGATATATCAAGTCATTCCACAAAAATCACAGCTACTGAGGAAGAAAATCCCAAGATCATCACCAGAGGAACCTATGACGGTGAGATCTCATTTGGGAGCAGCTGGAAGAATGTGGGAAGTAGCAGGGGCATTGGAGAAATTGTCTCAATAACTGAAGAAGATGATGCTGAAACATTTTCCTGAATTGATTCCATAGGGAATAATATTTTATTTAAGTCAATTAAACTTCCCTTCCCTATGAGCCATTTCTAAAAACTGTAGTTCCTTGCTTAAATCTTACCAAAGTGTCGTCAGAAATCAATTACCTACCCTCTTAATTACCTTTTACCCTTTCTTCTGTCCCTGACTCGAAAAATTACACCAGCAAGAAAATTCCTCTTCTACTTGTAAGCACTGACTTTTCTCTTTCTTAATTGTTTACTTTTTCTTTCTTAGATTAGATGGCACTTTTCAATTAAAGGGACGAAGAAGGAGACAGGTGAAAGGGACGAGTGATTTAAGTCCTGGATAATCTATCATATAACTAGATATTCATTACGGCAATGCAATTATCAACAAACTACTAATATTATTCAAATTGACCTAGCTTAAATTGAAAATTTAGTACCAAATCTTTCAATTTGTTTGAAAAAAAAATGAAAGATCAAGATGGCCAAGACTTTAAACAGAAGAAAAATGAGAGAATGAAGAAAAGTGGGAGGAGGAAGTCAGGGAGGGGTGAAGATGAGGGTGAAAGAACGAGGAGGGTACAAGAAGGGAAGGTGGGGGTACTTTAGGTATTTCAAAAGGTTCAAAACTTTAGGGTGCAAAGAGTAAGAAGGGTAGTGTAAACATTAATGAAACATTCCGAAAAACTAAGTTGCAACAACCCAATGCACAACAAACACACAAGGGTTGGATTTTACCCACTTTGAATTTTTAGCTAAGTGCAAATGTATTTTTGGAAATTAACCAAAAGTCAAAGAAAAGAAAATCATAAAAATATGTTAGTAAATTTTAAAAGACTGATATCACAACAAAAATAACTATACCAAAATTATTCACCATTTTTCTATAGACTATAATTATACCATATAAAAAAATAAAAGTACATAATTATAATTTAAGTAAAGAAGATTTAATTTTTTTATGTAAAAAATATTGAAAGACAAATAAAAAGTTATATTTCTTGTGGATAAATTGTTTGTGATAATATCTTAATGAGTATTAGAAAAATGATATGAGGTAAGCAAATGATAAATATAAAATCTTGAAATGTGGATCGGTGGTGGTGTGTGGCACCAAGTTTGTGTTTATCTTATGTTTTAAGAACATCACTTTCAAGTGACGCATGGTGAGATTGGATTCATCCGAAGCACGCAGGGTCCCCGAAGCAGGTGATTATTCTAATCGAGTGAAAACGTGAGTTGGACTTCAAACACGTGTCACGTGGCGGTGCGTTATTCTCCAGCCACGAAGCTTCCGCTACCACAGTTCTTGAGCCTGCTGTGTCCCGTGTGGGCCACCCCACTGTAAAGTCCCCACGCTGATGTCATCATGATAACGTTTATTGGTTACGTGGCACTGCTCTCAACACTTCATTCCAAAAGTTATTATTATATTTAAAAGATATTGTATTATTATATTCAATAACATAATTTGCTAATAAAATTATTTTTAGAATTAAATTAATATATTTATTGAATTTTGAATATAAAAATACTGAATTTTTTAACATACCAATTTTAATACAAACAAATATTTTATTTAATCCAGTTTTCACAACAAATTCTCATTTTCTCATGAATTAACAGTATAAAAATATTAAAATTAGCGGAGTATATTATTGGACTTTAATTAAATTTTATTGATGCTGGGTGTGTAAAAAATATTACTTGCATAGTTTTTATTTCTCTAAAGTACTTTTTTTTAATAAAATTTACAATTTTCTAAAGAAATTAATTCTTGTTGTTTAATGAAATCCATATAACTTGAAAGATGAAAAAAAAATATAATTTATTATAATAGAATATCATTAAAATAAATAAATAAATAAATTAGGAGGCTAAATAAGTTATTTTTATTTTATTGGAAAATGATTCTTTCTAACATGATACTGGGATGGTGGACAACAATATGTGACGTCATTAGTGGATAGAGCTTAATCCTTGCCACGTGGTGGGTCCCACACCTTATGTCATGCCACGAGGTATATGACGCTTCGTCCCTTCTCTGTTTATAACGTGTCTCACTACGCACTTGTTCCCACATTCTAATTTTTCGTTTCTATTTTTTATTCCATTCACAATTTCAATTCATGTTGTTAACTTCTTTCTACTTATATTCTATTTTTAAAATAATGGATATTACAGTAATTGTCAGAGTAACACCCATTCTCATAACTTCAATTCTAGCAGCTTTTCTTTATAGAGAATTTTTTATAGTGTTTTAAAATATTCCCTCTCGTCATTGTTTTAAGTACAAATGTCTTGAAATATTCTTTATTTTAATTTAAATATGATCATACATATGGAAGTGTTTTTCTTATATTTTGAAATTTTAACTTTTTCTCATAAAAAAAATGGGAGGAAAATGTGCCAGGTGGGCATGGCCCTTCAGTGACACAAATAACACCGCGTAATCTTAGAAACTTATAAAAGTAAAATAATAATAATTATTATTATTATTTATTATTAACCTTTTTTATAGTTGACGTTAGAAGTTAATGACCCTTTCAAATCATCAACCACTCGACCCACTCTCTCTTTTCCCCATTTATATTCAACCCCATAACCAAAATCCAACAACCTCAAACTCAAACACAAAACACCTTCTCTTGTTGTTCTCTCTCTTGGCAATCATTAATTTCCTCAAAATAAAACACCATGCAACAAGCAATTCCTTACAGGTCATGGCAACCTCTCATCACACTCTCCCCCACCACTCACTTCACTACTATCAGCAGCACTAATAACATTACTCCTTCCTTTGTGTCCACCAAAATGGTGCCAAACATGGTCTTAGAGAACGCGGTTATAGTGTTCGCAAGGCGCGGTTGTTGCATGAGCCACGTGGTGAAGCGATTGCTTCTGGGTCTTGGGGTGAATCCCGCGATGCACGAGGTGGAAGAGAAGGATGAAGCGGGTGTGGTTAGAGAATTGGAAGCAATTGTGGGCGCCAACGAAACCAAGATGCAGTTTCCTGCGGTTTTTATTGGTGGAAAATTGTTTGGGGGATTGGATCGGGTTATGGCCACTCATATTTCAGGGGAATTGGTTCCAATACTCAAAGAAGCACGAGCTCTGTGGCTCTAGATTTTCCATTTTCCTTTCCTTTCTCACTGTATTATATGTGTTATTATTTATTTATATTATGGTCAATTTCCGGATATATGTTTATTTCCTTCTCTTTGGAGGTTGTAGAGGAAAAAAAATGAATGAAAAAAGTTGTTTTCTATGTCTTCAGAAATGGATACAGAGATTGGATGTGACATGGGAATGTATAGATAGATATCTGGTGTTTCAGAAATGCAGATTTGTTTGCTTACAGTGGAGGAGACTCCCATTCGACTAATGGTTAATGTTATGATGATTTTTGGAATAATTGAAAGAGATAGAACAGAACAAAATCTAATTTCAACGTAAAAATCACTTCATAAAATATATATATGAGATTTTTTTAATAAAAAAATATAAAATATTACAAGTGATATGATTTGATGTAAGAATAGAAAAAAAGTATAGATATTATTAAGATGTTTAAAAAATAAAAAAAAACATATATTATTATATTTCCAATTAAAAGGTATTTCATGATATTTAATATTATCATGTAAGTTAAATGTAAAAGATCTTCATATTATTCATCTTTTTCAATAAAATTCATAGTTTACTTTATGAAATAAATATACTGAAATACGATAAAAGTTATCGAATAAAATTCGTAAATAAATAATATATATTGAGAATTTAACATATCTTACAATATTATTCATGTGTTGTCAATTTTATAAATATTATTATAACAAAAAATAATAAATTTATTTTACAATGATAGCTGGTTATCATTGATAATGTTAAAAATTCTAAATATATACAAATCTTTTTTATTCATCTAGCTATGATGGTTTAGTTTCAAAATTTAGAATAAATGTCATGAACTGTATAATAAAATTTGTTCATTTCAGTTTGTTTAATATTTTCTCAGTTTCGAGTTTTAGTATAAATGAAACTACGTTCTTATAACTTTATTTATTTTTAAATGATATATAAAAAAAGTGAAAATAAACGAAAATTAATTTTATATGAAGAAAAATTCATAATTAATTAAAAATAATTAATTATATGTATTATGTGTTCAACAGTCTTATATCACATCAGAAAATTTTAGATAATATCATCTAATCTTATACTATAAAAAAGATAAGTAATTTTGTTCGTACTTAAGAGATGTTGTTAACACATCACTCTATTATCATACTTGCATTTACCCTTTCACACACCTTTAAAATAATAGAGGTTAATAATGTTAACTTGAAAATAATATCCTAAATATATATATAACAAGTATTGAAATTAGGAGATAGGTGTTTGTAAAAATATAATGATTGCATTTTGTTAATATAAGAGATGCCATGTAAAGATTGTGATGAGGTAGGTTAAGAAATAAAGTATAGATCATAGTGCCATTTTTCATCCTGTCACACTGTTTTTCTATTTGTGCTGAACTGCTACGAACCTTCCACTTTTGACTTCACCCATGTCTGTAGGGTGCATGTGTAGCGTAAGCAAATAAAACAACTTTGCCTCTTTGGATTCATGAATTTTAAATTTAATTTAATTAATTAACATGTATGAGAAAATGTTGACACCTGATTCAATATATACGTTTTTGGATTAGCATTATCATGATGCAACAACAAATATCACTTTTCATTTTAAAATACATGAATTGAATATTTAATAAAAGTCATATCTCATTGTTTGCAGAAAATAAAATATGATAAGCTTCGGGACCCTTGCGTTTTGTTTGGTGTTTTGTTTTGTGGGTCTCACAGAACGTGATTTCTGGTAATAGAAATCAGAATTATTTTGGCGTAAGAGAGGACAATTTGGTGCGTTGTGCACACACCGTTAGTTTTTTTTTTTTTTTTAACTTCATTTTCCACCGACAACGCCGAAAGAAACCTTAACAAATGTATGTCATGTTTTACGCGTTTTAATAATATAATTCTATAAATATAAGTAGTTTAATGTTACTAAATTATTCACTCCAAATTTGCCTCTCTAATTTCCCTTTTCAATCACCATAATAATTTTGTTTTCATCCTATCTAATTAAATTTTATTGTAAGTTTCCCTCTGGATTATGCTTCACATCAAATAATATATTTCTTTTAAAAAGAAAAAAGAATAATCTCTATTTGGTAAATGATTGACTAATCAATCTGAAAAGTATAATTTATATTTCACAATTGGTTAACTAAGCATCCTATAAAGTATGATTTTTATTCTACAAATGGTTAATCAAGCAATATCATTTTATTGAACAAATATCAATCATTACTTTTAGAACAAGCTACAGGACAGAACTAAGAAACCCGTACTACTGGATAAAATTAAGAAATCCTTCAAGTGAAACTTTTATTATGTTAAAGAATTAAAATAATTTGACAAGTATATTTTTTTTCTTAAATAGATTTTATAATATATATAATTAATATGATATCAACTTTAAAATATTCTTAAATATTTAATTGTAACTTAGATTTTGATATATTTTAAATAAATTTTAAATTAATATTTTAATTGAATCTCATGATAATATATATACACCTTTTTAATCTTCTTGTACATTTTTTATATTTTTTTTAAATAAAATCGTGATGGATAAAATTTCAAAAAAAATAATAACTCAAACACATAAATTAATGATAACAAATATTTTAGGGAAATATCATTATTAGATATAACTATTTATTTATACACAAAATACTTTGATAATCATTAACACTACTCAGTTAAATAAAACCGAACAATTTCAAATTTTTTTATCACGTCTTATCTTCCAATAGCTCCATTCTTTTAATAGCTGACAGATTAAGAAATTTAAATGCAGATCAAAAGTAAAAATAAACCATGAGTTTCAATGAATCTTACAGTGAAGACATGTGATGACAACAGTAGGTTCGGTAAAATTCTACATCATTTTCGTTTGCATGATCATTTTACTTGTAAATGAAAATGGCCGGCCATGTGAACAAGTTGAAGTGTTTCTGTTCGCGATCACCACAAAATTCCAGTTGTACTCATTGTTTCAAACCTATAATGTGAAAAAAAATGGTCACTTTTCAGACCTATAATTCCTAGATGGAACAGTTGTACTCATTGTTCCATACCAAAAGGGGCAAGTTTCAGATCTCCTTGTTAGAGAAAAAGGTCATTTTCCATTCACGAGTCAAGGTGGGGAGAGAGGACAGGGCCACTTTTAGCACAAGCATCAAAGAACACATCCCATTACACATATCAAGAATTACAAGACTCATCAAATCAAAGTGTATCAAACCATGAATCAAAATCATCAGTTATTTTGGACATGCTTCCAGAATGTGAGGAAGATTGCATGCTGTGGTGGACATGCTTTTCTTTCTTTGGCAGTAGTAAAACATTTGGTTTCATCAAAGTGGATGTTTCCTCCAGCAAGTCATCAAGTGCATCATCTAGACTAGCTGTAAGGGATGCAATTTTGGGTGGAACTATATCTTTCTTCAAAATCTGCGGAGGATACGCAGAAGAGACTCCCAATGAAACTGGAGAGTCTAGAATCTTGGTATCTGTAAGTGAATCTAGAAGCATATCTAGTTCTTTTTCAGCAGCAGCAGCTTCAGATGTGGAGTACTGTTTCCCTCTTTCATCTTCGGTGGAATGTAAGCTAGCATCTGAACTTAGAACAAATGCTTTATGCTTACCATTACTGCTAGCCTGCTGAAATTCAGCATTGACTGGATTCACAGGAATGTTAAAGTCATTTGACAAGGGAAATGTGGAAGCAGCATGCCTACTACTGCTGGAACTAGATGATGCAAACTGATGTGCACCAAGATTTTCTAAATTTAATTCTTCAGACATCCTATTGGCTAGTTCATTGTCCTCTATAGTTTCCAGTTCCTTGTGTTCTTCGTTGTTGTGCACTGCCAACTCTTCCGCACACTGCATAACAAACTGCATTAATGCAGCAAATATAGATTTGCAGACTATAAATAAAATTGAAAATTTTCTCGCAAATTATTATTGAATTTCACAGGGAATATGGATGACTCTATCACTCTATATGTCAGTAATAACAAGCTACCTATGCCAGTGCTGCAATCCATGCCATAACTATTTGTATCAGTGAACAAAGAAATTGCTGAAATTTGGAATCATTCGTTACTATATTGTAACGTATACTTTATTTTAATATTATATTACCGTGCAAGAAAACTCCGTAACGAAGTTTTTCTCATGCACAGTAAAAATTTTCTTATATATGAATACTGAAGCGGGGGAGGAGGGAAATCAAAAATTTTCCTCTCATCCTTCTTCTTCTATTGTCTAAATTTCAAGCAACGAGACTCTACTCGTGCAGAATCTGGTGAAACGGGAGAGAACTTGAATTAAGTGGGAAAGCTTCGGTAGAAATACCATACCAAGTAAGGGGAAGTTTAATTCATTCAATATATGAAATTGAATTGTTGGGTACTCTGTGAATAAGGAATAGGAGTAGAGATATGAATTATTGAAATGTCTGATTTTGAAGAATGTCTGATTTTGATGAACTGATTCACCGGTTGAAAGTTTTTTTGAAATTAAGGATGAATTATATAATAAAATTGTTGTTTTTAACTTAAATTGAACATGTTTATGGTTTAATTTTGATTTGGAACTAATTTGGGTGATTAAAACTGAGAAATTTGAAACCTGGATTTCGAAAATGGCGTACTGGAAAACCTGCAAAAGTCGCTCAAGCGAAAAATACATCGCTTGAGCGAGGACACCTGGAAAATTTGGGATTCTCGGGTTCTTACTCGCTCAAGCGATAACTACATCGCTTGAGCGAAGAAGGGTTCTGTCTCGCTCAAGCGACTGGTGTACTCGCTTGAGCGACTAAGCCTTCAAACAAAAGGGACTCCCGGGTCATGTCTCGCTCAAGCGACTGGTGTACTCGCTTGAGCGACGAAGCCTTCAAACAAAGGGGACTCTCGGGTCATGTCTCGCTCAAGCGACTGGTGTACTCGCTTGAGCGACGAAGCCTTCAAACAAAAGGGGACTCCCGGGTCATGTCTCGCTCAAGCGACTGGTGTACTCGCTTGAGCGACGAAGCCTTCAAACAAAGGGGACTCTCGGGTTCTGTATCGCTCAAGCGACCGGTGTACTCGCTTGAGCGAGAGAAGGAAGAAGAAAGGGATATGGTGGAAATTTTTAAAAAGATCAAGGGTAAACTAGTCATTTTACATCACAGGGACATAAATGGAATTTTCAAAAATGTCCAAGGGTAAAATAGTCATTTAGGGACATACATGACATGTTAAGAAAAGATTAAGAGCAAAATAGTAATTAAATGATTTTGAAAATGATTTCAAAAATAGTTTCGGAAATTATTTTTGAAAAATATATATATAAAGAGAGAGAGAGAGAATGAAAGTAGTGTGTTGTGACGTGTGTGGGTCAGACTGAGCCTGATGCCCAGAATCAGTCCTGAGACGTTATATATTGGCTAGACTGAGCCGGAGGGTTGGTGCCAGAATCAGTCAAATACTATTTTATTGACTCGAATGAGCCGTGAGGACAGGTGGTCCAGAATCCGACAAATGTGAATAATTTTTGTTATGTTTGAATGGTACCCGGAGTGGTACGAGTATATTAGTGTAATAACTATGTCGGAGGATTCCGAATGAGGTCCCGAGACTTCACTAATTGGTCGGGTCGGGTAGACTACGAGATCGGGTGGTGAAAAGTCGATGGGGGGATGACGGTGGCGCGCTCGGAGGGGTACTCCAGTATGAGTGATGAAGGGCGTCGGTAATCCTACTCGTGTGGAGGGTGGTCGGAATGGTACTGCGGATACCGATCACAATGTGCCCACAGATGATAGCCTTTGAGTTCGGGCATAGTTAGGGTATATTTCCGGAAGGTGTCTTAGTGTGTTGATAATTTCGTAATTGATCATAATATATAATTATTACTTTTATATTTGTTTTATTATATCGAATGATTTAATACTTACCCCTATTTTTCCATGTGGATGAGACTCGCGATGATCACTTTTATGTGGGAGCGGATCGGGAGTTAAAAGATGGTGATGTGACTACCGGACAGCGAGGATAGTTCGATGGGATAGCTTCGAGGGAGCTACTTTTACATGTATAATATATAAATAAATTATGTTACTATATTTTGAAGTTACGTTAGTGAATAGAAATTTTAATATATGTTACAATTACGAGTAATATAATGTAAAATAGATGTTGTTATTTACTTGTTTACTACTTTGCGAAGACATCATTATAGTAGCGATTTCTAGGGTCGTTACAATAGTAGTATCAGAGCGGTAGTATCCTTGTAAATCTGTGGGGATGGGTAGTGAACCTATGATAAGTCCGTTGTGATTATACTCTGATTGTGAGTGCGTGAATGTTTGCTCTGTATTGATGGTTGCGTTTGATATAGGACGGCACCGCAACCTCCTACTCCACCGAGTGTAGATGCCCTAGCCAGGGCAATGGAAATGTTGGCAGCTGCCATGCAGCAGCAGACTACCTACCCGCAGTGGAGGCCAACTATGGCATCATCCTCTGCTGGATATCACCAATAAGAGCAGATGGGGCTGACTGAGTTCATGAGGCATAATCCGCCTCGTTTTGGAGGAGATTTGGGTCCAGATGCAGCAGAGAAGTGGCTGCGTGAAGTGGAGAAGATTTTTTAGGCTACCTTATGCCCGGAAGACAAGAAATTGACATTCGGGAAATACTTACTAGTTGATGAGGCTGAGTTCTGGTGGTCAGGGACTCAAAGGATGATGATTGCACGTGGGGAGGTGTGTAATTGGGAAACTTTCCGTGAGAGATTTCGGAGAAATACTTCCACTGACGGTGTTAGATTTCGGAAGGAGGCCGAGTTCCCGAGTCCGAGACAGGATAATATGATGGTGCATGATTACGCCATACGATTTGAGCACTTATCTCGTTTCTACACAGGTACAACTTCAGAACAGTGGCTTTGTAGGAAGTTTGTGGAAGGCTTGAGGGCTGAGATCAAGCTCATGGTGGTTCCTTTCTCTATCAGGAGATTCCCAGAGCTAGTGAAGAAGGCGAAGACAATAGAGAGACTTCAGGAAGGAGGAGTCAGAGTGATTAGGACCCACTCAAGTGGGGTCCCGAGTAGGGGTAGTAGATCAGAGAGGAGGATGTCTTATTCACGCCCCCAGTCTTCCAGGAGTGGCAGTGTTACCCCAACACCTCGATCATCGGGATCTGTATCCGGGGTAAAATGTTTTCAATGTGTAGAAACGAGATAAGTGTTCAAATCGTATGGCGTAATCATGCACCATAATATTACCCTGTCTCAGACTCAGGAACTCAGTCTCCTTCTGAAATCTAACACTGTCAGGGAAGTATTTCTCCAGAAATCTCTCACGGAAAGTTTCCTAATTACACACCTCCCCACGTGCAATCATCATCCTTTGAGTCCCTGACCACCAGAACTCAGCCTCATCAACTAGTAAGTATTTCCTGAATGTCAATTTCCTGTCTTCCGGGCATAAGGTAGCCTCAAAAATCCTCTCCACTTCACGCAGCCACTTCTCTGCTGCATCTGGACCCAAATCTCCTCCAAAACGAGGCGGATTATGCCTCATGAACTCAGTCAGCCCCATCTGCTCTGATTGGTGATATCCAGCAGAGGATGATGTCATAGTTGGTCTCCACTGCGGGTAGGTAGTCTGCTGCTGCATGGCAGCGGCCAACATTTCCATTGTCCTGGCTAGGGCATCTACACTCGGTGGAGTAGGAGTAGGAGTAGGAGTAGGAGGTCGCGGTGTCATCCTATATCAAACACAACCATCAATACAGAGCAAACATTCACGCACTCACAATCAGAGTATAATCACAACGGACTTATCATAGGTTCACTACCCATCCCCACAGATTTACAAGGATACTACCGCTCTGATACCACTATTGTAACGACCCTAGAAATCACTACTATAATGATGTCTTCGCAAAGTAGTAAACAAGTAAATAACATCTATTTTACATTATATTACCGTAATTGTAACATATATTGAAATTTCGGTTCACTAACGAACTTCAAAATATAGTAACATAATTTATTTATATATTATACATGTAAAAGTAGCTCTCTCGAAGCTATCTCACTGAACTATCCCCGTTGTCCAGTAGTCACATCACCATCTCTCAACTCCTGATCTGCTCCCACATAAAAGTGATCATCGCAGTCCCATCCACATGGAAAAATAGGGGTAAGTATTAAATCATTCGATATAATAAAACAGATATAGAAGTAATAATTATATATTATGATCAATTACGAAATTATCAACACACTAAGACACCTTCCGGAAGTATACCCTAACTATGCCCGAACTCAGAGGCTATCATCTGTGGGCACATTGTGATCGGTACCCGCAGTACCATTCTGACCACCCTCCACACAGAGTAGGATTACTGGCGCCCTTCATCACTCATACTGGAGTACCCCTCCGAGCGCGCCACCAGTCATCCCCCCATCGACTTCTCACCACCTGATCTCGTAGTCTACCTGACCCGACCAATCAGTGAAGTCTGGGACCTCATTCAGAATCCTCCGACATAGTTATTACACTAATGTACTCTGTACCACCCCGAGTACCATTCAAACATAACAAAAATTATTCATATTTGTCGGATTCTGGACCACCTATCCTCACGGCTCATTCGAGTCAATAAAATAGTATTTGACTGATTCTGGCACCAACCCTCCGGCTCAGTCTAGCCAATATATAACGTCTCAGAACTGATTCTGGGCATCAGCCCTCAGGCTCAGTCTGACCCACACACGTCACAACACACTACTTTCATTCTCTCTCTCTTTATATATATATTTTTCGAAAATAATTTCCGATATCATTTCCGAAACTATTTTTGAAATCATTTTCAAAATCATTAAATTACTATTTTGCCCTTAATCTTTTCTTAACATGTCATGTATGTCCCTAAATGACTATTTTACCCTTGGACATTTTTGAAAATTCCATTTATGTCCCTGTGATGTAAAATGACTAGTTTACCCTTGATCTTTTTAAAAATCCCCACCATATCCCTTTCTTCTTCCTTCTCTCGCTCAAGCGAGTACACCAGTCGCTTGAGCGAGACATAACCCGGGAGTCCCCTTTTGTTTGAAGGCTTCGTCGCTCAAGCGAGTACACCAGTCGCTTGAGCGAGACATGACCCAGGAGTCCCCTTTGTTTGAAGGCTTCGTCGCTCAAGCGAGTACACCAGTCGCTTGAGCGAGACATGACCCGGGAGTCCCCTTTGTTTGAAGGTTTCGTCGCTCAAGCGAGTAGACCAGTCGCTTGAGCGATACATGACCCGGGAGTCCCCTTTGTTTGAAGGTTTAGTCGCTCAAGCGAGTACACCAGTCGCTTGAGCGAGACAGAACCCTTCTTCGCTCAAGCGATGTAGTTATCGCTTGAGCGAGTAAGAACCCGAGAATCCCAAATTTTCCAGGTGTCCTCGCTCACGCGATGTATTTTTCGCTTGAGCGACTTTTGCAGGTTTTCCAGTTCGCCATTTTCGAAATCCAGGTTTCAAATTTATCAGTTTCAATCACCCAAATTAGTTCCAAATCAAAATTAAACCATAAACATGTTCAATTTAAGTTAAAAACAACAATTTTATTATATAATTCATCCTTAATTTCAATAATTTCAAAAAAACTTTCAACCGGTGAATCAGTTCATCAAAATCAGAAATTCTTCAAAATCAGACATTCTTCAAAATCAGACATTTCAATAATTCATATCTCTACTCCTATTCCTTATTCACAGAGTACCCAACAATTCAATTTCATATATTGAATGAATTAAACTTCCCCTTACTTGGTATGGTATTTCTACCGAAGTTTTCCCACTTAATTCAAGTTCTCTCCCGTTTCACCAGATCCTGCACGAGTAGAATCTCGTTACTTGAAATTTAGACAATAAAAGAAGAAGGATGAGAGGAAAATTTTTGATTTCCCTCCTCTCCCGCTTTAGTATTCATATATAAGAAAAAATTTACTGTGCATGAGAAAAACTTCGTTACGAAGTTTTCTTGCACAGTAATATTAATATAATATTAAAATAAAGCATATGTCACAATATATTATGATCATTCGTTACTATATTCTATAGCAATGTATGATCATAGCCACACGAATCCAATGTAACATTGATACAATGCACATATGGCTATGTTTCAGTGTATCTGATAGGGCAATGTAGAGCAACATGGCTCATGCTTTAACGACAGGTTGCTCAACATAAAGTTTCTGTTTGTCTTTCCATGATGCAAAGAAACAAAAAGCGTTCTGCAATAAGAGAAATTCTTGACAGTTTGCTTTACATCATGGAATTTATGCACATTAATTATTTCTGAAATCACTACTTCCCATTTTAACTAAATTGTTTAGTGACCTCCTGCTATAGCTTAACACATGTAGAACTACAGAGCAAGAGCTCTCGGAGTCCCTATGAATTTCTGTTCGTAGGATAAGTAAAAATATAAGGGATTTAAATTATCCAATTCCCTAGTGCGGGTAAACAGTCTTGCCCATAAGGTGGACAAGGGTGAGCTTAACACGTCAATTTAATAACCTCAACAATGTAAGTTGAATTTTAAAATAGTTATGTCCAATGTAAATTGTAAAACAAAGTAAAATAAGTATGCTGCACTGTTGGCCCGGCCTCTTCCCAAGCCTTGGGAGGGGAAAAAAGGAACATGAAAGAAAGCTAACAAAAAGAATGTACTGTTATTTACAATTATGAAATAAAGCCAGCCACACAATTTTCAAGAATAATTTAGAGAGTAAACATACCATCTCAGTGGATAATAGGTCAGACTCAATGAATAATCTCTTTGATAAGTCAACTTTGGCAAAATTGTCAGCTAGAGCAAGCAAATTTAGAGACAAAAATGATGCCTGCATGAAAACCCAATTCAAGGTAAGTAAGGCAGTACTAAATGATGCTTGAAGATAACATGCAGCAAAATAATGAAGATATGAAAATATTGCGAAGGCAAGTCATGATAAGAATACTGGACAAAATCATATAGATCAATAACAATCCTATAATTATTTTACGTAGCAGAATCATAATTCCAATAAACAATCTTTTGAAGGAAAAAAATTGTTTGATAAAAAAAGAAAAAGCAACAAAAAAGTCTCTAATACTCAAATGCAAGACTCTATACCGAATCAAAATTTCAACCATCCTACAGTTTTGTGCGAGTGCAAAGAAACTTCCATTTCAATTTTTGTAGTCCCACGTGCAAAGCCTATAATACTAGATGAGAACTATCTCTACTAGATTCACTAAGAATTACTATACATGTGCCCCATATACTTACAACCACATCAACATTAGTGAAGGGTTAACATTTTACCTCCTGATTTCCACTTGTCTTATCCTCTACAACAAAATTATCATCTCCATTCCACGAGACGATGCCCTCTCCCCTGGACGCAAGCATAGAGCTCAATCCCACACCATACTCCCCTGTAAGACAAAAAGCAGCATCAATGACTAGTCACCTTATTACAAATGCTCATTATAAAGTAGAACTACTACTGAAATATGTATCAGGAACAATTAGAAATCATCAGACCTCCGTTGCAAGCACAAAACTAAGGTTTAGTAAAGTAAGATTTTCATCCATGTTTTTAATAAATGCCTTTATGGTGCCAAAATCCAATTACCAAAGACTAAACTCCAATTCTACTAGAGAAACTCCAAACAATCTCTGCAAGTTTGAGTTAAATTTGAGGAGGAAAAAGGACATATTATAATATATTTATAATAAATTTACCTTTAAATTCAAAATTTTCTGTAGGAATCTTCTTGTGCTGATAGTATAAAGAATGAAAATCATAAAAATAAACATGTTAAAAGTTAAGTTTATATTCATTCGTCATTTTATAATTTCAATTTCTAATCGATGTTAGTGAGAATTAATTCATTGTTAGTATAATTTTGAAGGTAATCAATATTGGTGTGACTTTTAAAAAGGAACTAATGGTAGTTTGTGATTGCAAAACAGTATGATTTCCCTTTTTCATACAATGACTTGCAACGATGGTTGAAATTATGATCTAATGTAAACTATCCAAACCTCATACCAAGCCTTCTGGATTTTTTACTCTAAGTTTATTTCTATTTTCAATTATTATTAAATTACAAATATAATTAAAAATAAAGATGTTCCATTTTTTACTCTCAATACCAAAACCACATCCAAGACAAAAAATAAAACTTAACTTGGGACCTAAATTGTGTCCAAATTACGAACAGTGATGTTGCAAAATAGATACCAGGAAGAAGATCATCGAAGGCAGGGAATGCTTCCAAACTTGTCTCCGCATGGGACTGAGCCTCCTCAAGCAGGTGGCGATAATCGGCGCCTTTACTTTTAGGCAAGACAACATCGAGGGTTTTGCTAGCAGTTTCGGGCCCAGAATCATCCTCTTCCTCCCCATAGCGGTCCCAATTCGAGGGAAGCGCAGAACGGTAATTTTTCTTCTTCTTCTCCGCGTTCACTTCCTGCTTTCCCGGTGGGTTCTTCGCAGCGTCCTTTTGGTACGAAGCAGAAGACGATTGGGCTTTGGGCTTTTGGCTATGGTGAGACTTTTTGCTGTGGTGCTGCGTGTGACTTCTCTTTGATTTCGCCAATGTCTTCACGTCCATCAGAAACTCTTTCTGGGATTCTCAATTCGGCATTGCTTTTTTGCGAATGATCGAAGGATTGTAGGAATTGAAATCGGGTGATTGGACAATTTTGGGTTAGAGAGCGATGATTTAGGGTTTAGACAAGGATTGAATCGAATCTACGAGGAAAGTTGTAAACGGCGTCGTTTTAAATCTTAAGCTGCATCCATTTTTCAGAGCGCGCTGGATTGTTCTTGGTAGGGAAGAAAAGTATTTGGGCCTATTCATTTTTATCTGTTGTTTTTGGTCGAAATGAGGCCTATTCATGATAGATGTAAGCCTCGCTTATATGTGGGCTGAGCCCAAACTAAGAAATCGTGTCACATTGGACGTCTTGATTTGGGCCGTAAATAAAAGAAAAGGGTAAAATGCAAATTGTAGGTTAACTTAAAACGTTCATGTTCATATGATTAGTTTAACTCTTTGTGCTGACATGATTTTGGTAGATGAACATGAGCATTGAATACCCATTTGCTTTTATAAGATATAAAAAATGAAATGATTTTGTGCATTAAAAAAAAATTCATATACCTTCTCTAAATTTAAATTTATTTCATTTATGCATGAACTAATTTTAATATATATATAGAGAGAGAGATTTTTTTTTCTGATCTAAAAATCCTTATGGAATAATAAATCGAGGAATGGAAGAATTGTTAAAGAACTACATTATTAAGTAAAGATATCGAGAGTTGAAGATTCATATTGACCAAACAAAATTGAAAGCAAAAGTTAAATTAATTTAACCTGACAAGTTGGGATGAATAGATCGAATATAGGTTGGGAATATTTAGAAAATGCTCGAAGTAACATGTTATAAAAAAAGGATTGAGGAATATATTGAGAAATAAAGTAATATAGTGTGATTAGTCCAACATTGAAAGTTGAGAGTTGAAGATATCAAGTTTAATGGTACAAATCTGACAAAAATAAAATATCGAGAAAAAATTATGTAATATGTAAAGATAGTTATTATCTTATTTTATTATAGTATATGCCCAATAATATGTGATAACAACGTACGTCAAAGAAGGTGAGAACAATTGTAATAAAATAATCATGCATATATTTATATATTTATTTAACTTTATTTTTATTTTTTAGTGGTTATACAAAAGAAAATATAAATAAGGTGGAATAAATGTAAAAAGGGTAATTTTCAAATTATATGAAGACTTAAATTTTGTTTTATCTTGATAATGAGTTAAATTTATTTTATTAATATTTATTTTCTTTACACATTTTTTTTTTACAATTTACTTTTGCAGTACCTTTATTATTTTCGCATTATATATTAAATATTTCAAATTATATTAAAAATCAAATTTGAGTAAGACCAATATTTAATTCAAATATATTATGTTTTAATGGAGGGATAGATATAAAACGAATTTACTTTATATTTAAATAATTTATTGTGTATTTAAAAATAAATTTATTTAATCTATAACAAGTCATTTACACTTAAAAACAATAATTCTTACCACATAAAAAAAAATTATATTGTCATATGAACAAAAAAATTCTTCCCATTTTTGCATATTTACCATATATAAAATAAACCTATAAAATAAAATATTTTCCATCCATATTAATTATTTCCCAAAAATACTTCTTTTGAAACAATTGGCAAGTTACTTGCGATCTGCACCAAAATCGAAACCTGTATACGACAAGATCAATCCAAGTGTTGATTGATAGCTATCTTGATCGAAATTTCTCCTTAAGAGACAAGATGAACGAACATGAGGGAGATTGGCATACATCGTCTCCAAAATTTCCACTCAGAGCACATCATTAGGCAAGGAATTCTTTCTAAGAGTTGTCAGAAATAAATAACATTAATCTATGAAATTGGCAAGGGAATGAAATTACCATCAACATAATCTATATGAGACCATTAATTGCAGACAAGTGCACCCTTAAATTGAACTATCCAAGCGTGATAATTAGAGAGCTTGAGAGTTTTTGATGAACTTGAATGCCACTATTTGAAGAATAAAAGTGCATGATTGCTGATGTTAATCATTTTAAGGGTTGAATTTATAACAATGAAAAGAGTTGGAAGTTCAAACGTTAGCATCGGAGGTAGCAGTAGTATCCATATTGAAAATGGATACAAAAAGTGTATGTGAAGCACAGAAAATGTCATCAAGAAATGGTTTTATATTACATCTCTGAAATTTAAAACTCTGTCAAATTTACTGATACGAGTGCTTGGTTTCGTGGGGAATGTGGAGAACAATATATCAGTAAAAATTTCGAATAATAATCTGTCACTAAATAAATATTCTTAGCAGTATTTATTTTTCAAGAAACACTTAACCTTTACTGTGCGGTGTGCTTTCTTGAAAAAAGAAATTGTGGCCTACAATTTTTTTGAAAAGCCACCATCAATTTATGTAGAGAACAAAGATGACTTTTTCTAAATTCACTTTTATTTCCTCTGGGACCAATTAATGTTACGTACACTGTCAGTGGTACAAGGAGGGCGTTTCTGAAAATCTGTCTTTATGCTCCTTTCTCTCCCCATCCAAATTAATTTGCCAATAATTCAAGGAGCTAATAAAGGCAAGACCCTGTTGATTTCTTCCTGTATTAAACTTTGTTCTTTTTTCCATAGTGGAACTTCACTATTAATGTTCATATTTATAATTCTTGATTGTGACATTCCTGGAAAACACTGAAAGCAGATATACATAGATGGTGACCTGGTTTACTATACAATACAACTTGACAGAGATTTTCATGACTTAATAATTTTCTGGTTTGGGCATTATTTGGTCTCTCTCACTCTTGCACTTTCTTTATTACATACATACATGGTCCCCACCACCACCTCTACAAAAGGGAACAATAATTAATACATGATTAGGGCCTCCTTGATTCACCTTAATTGAAAAGAAAAGAGAAAGAAAGAAACCCTAGTGCAAGGTTTAGTTTTGCTTTCCCTGGCCCTGCTAAGAAAGTGAATATCTCTTATTTAATCAATATTAGGTTAGATGCATGGCAATTTCATTATTCATAATTGGTAGATTGAGGTCATAGTGGTGGTCAATTCCATATCCATGAGAACACAGTGCTTGCCTCTTCAGCCTCTAAGCGTGTTCAGAGACACATATCCAATTCACGATCCTATCACATTTATAATTCACTGATGTTAAGTAAATTATCTTTATTATTTCTTGTACTAAATCTGGTGGGGCATAAACAACATTCATTAACTTCCATAAGGATCACGCTTGTATTTCTTGTATATAGAGTTTAATCACTAGGTATTGTTAATGTTAAAAAATTTTATCAATTCAACTTAAACTGTTATTAAAGAGTCTTTAAGGTAATGTTTATACATAAACATAAACAACTTAGTTTGTAATAATAATTGGATGAAAAAAATTGTTTTACACTACGTATACTTATATAATTCGTTATAAAATATATATAACATAATGAATAGTTGCTCCATAAGTGATAGAGACTCCATTTTAATTAAATTGATCTTTGTGTAAAATATTAGCTGCTTTTCCAATGTTGACCATAAAGGTTTCAATCATACACAGCACACCTTAGCACTCAATACACAAGAGAGAGAGCTGGAGAAATAATGGGTGATATATTTATGTGTTTGCTTTTCAATGAAGCATAAAATATGCTAATTAATCTGACTTTTTTATTGTTATTGATCCACTATGATCTCAAGGTTAGTATTGGATAAGATCCTTAGCTGAGTAATCTGTGAATGCATGAGTGTTTGTGTCAAGAGACAAGTTTAAGGATACTATTTTTCTGTTTATTTTTAAGAAAATGTGTTTTTTAATATCAAATGGTTTAGATAAATAACCATCATTATTCATTTTTAACAAGAATTCAGAAAAGGAAATGTTTTAAAAAATTCAACATTTTTATTAAATGAAAAAAAACTAGTTGGATATATTTTCTAAAGTTTTAGCCACCATAGTAATTATAATTTTTTTATTTATATTTCATAAATATATTTTTTTACAAATCGCATTCTAGTTATAATTTAAAAAATTATACTCATATATTATTTATATTAGAAATAACATATTCTCTATATCCTTACTACCACTCTATGTACAACTTAGGGTTGATGGAAAATTACGTACCTAAATTACATAGGTTTATTGGCTCTATACTAACTAATCACTAATCAAGGCTTTAACTGCACTAATCACACATATATGACGATTTTCAAAACCTATAATTAATGGAATACAAAATTACATGGACTTACAGTAAAAGGGGTCAAACTATCCATTCGATTCATATTTTACTAAATTAATCCAAAAGAATCTATTATAAAAAATAAAATAAAAAAACTATTCTAAAAGTCTCAAACAATTTTATCATAAAATTGTGTTAAATTTTTAAGAGTACGTATTATGAATATCTGATATTGTATATACCTATAATGAAGAGTAAACAGTTCTTAATTCACAAATAGATGTGAGTATTGTGAGCAACAAAATGAGGTAAATGAGCAACAAATTGATTGATAATGTAAAAATACTTATTTTGATGATTTATTGAAATAAAACTAACATATAAATTAGTTAATAATTAATAAATGATTATTGACTAATATCATGTAAATATCATGAATTTAAATTTTCGAAGAAAGTAAAAATGAAAACTTATTCACATCACTAACTCATATAAGAAAATACGTGGCACCTTAATTTGTCGTTTTCATTAAAATAATATTGTTTAAAAATTTAAGTTGACAAAAATGATAATATCTATATCATATAAAACTATTTTAGTGATGAGTTAGATAGGATAAATAAATAGTTACTTAGTTCATATTTATAAAATATGATTATATTTTAGGGTATTTCAATTAGGTTAACGCATTATCATCAGTTTGTCATTGTCTCATGATATCGTGAAATCTTTCCCATCATTTTAGACTAAAATTAAGTTAAAAAAAAAAAAACATGATAGAAAGACAACGAGATATATTTGGAAAAATAGTAGGTTTGAAAATGTAAAACATAATTATGAAACATTGTTCTGTTATAAAATTATTATTGTAATGAAGAAACATACTGATGCAATTATGCATTATAAAGAAACCAAACATATATCTCTGGAAAAGTGAAGTAAAAATTTGCAAATCGAAAAGAATATTCATGTGGTGCCTTATTTTTCCCCTGTAAAGTTGGTTGGCTAAAAACGCAATAAGTTCTTCTACCACCTTGACATGTGTATAGAAAATGACCTAAAATTAAAATAAAAAATAAAGGAAAAGGAAGAATATCAAAGAAAATAATTATTAATTGTGTAAGGTAAAAGAAGGTCACATATTCTCCAGCTTTTGATAAAACAGAACCATGTGGGTTCCTGTACAGGAATCCTAGATCTAACAGTATTCGACAATTATTCCAATTTATTTAACCTATGTCTAACTAGTTGAATTTTTATTTTTTTTTCACTTTACAATACTACCCTCTCTAACTACTAATTGCATATAATTAACCTCAGTTTACAAAATATGCATTAGAATATGAAGATTAAATATGACAAAAATGTCAGTTCCATTCAATTACATGCAAGCCTTCAAATTGGCAATGGAATATTTTTTTTTTCTTAATTAGTTAATTAGATTGCACAATCCATTCTCAAACATGTGTTTCACTTCTTATAAACTCTAATACTTTTTTTTCTTCAAAAGGACAAAGCAAGAAACGAACATAGCCTTGTTGACAACAATTTGCTTTTCCTAAATCTCCATCTGTTTTGAAAACATGGCTAGTGTTTTTAATTAACTATACTAATTAAGGTAGAAAGAGAGAGAGAGAGAGAGAGAGAGAGAGAGAGTTAATTTGTGGGGGACCCTATGGAGTTTGAAAATGGGAATCTCACGAGGCCTTGAAAGTTGGAGTCTTTGGGTGAAGTGTTGGAGGGCTAGAGAATATTCTAATGCCACCACAGTTCAACAACAAAACTCCAAATATTTACATTAAAAAATGTTGGAAAAGAAAAACATCATTAGATTATGATTAAGGATTAGGAAAATTAATAGTAAAAGTCAGCCCACAACCAGACGATTGCTCAAACTTCCAAAAATTCACTGCCTTTGTCAGCTGGCTGTCTCCTTCCATTTTTATACTAACTTTTTCTTTTATGGACCACCACTTGTATATTCATATTAACCCAAACACTGGAAGTAGTAATTACTTAAATGTAGGATAAAGGTTAGTTTTCACTACCTGTAAATATAATTATATGAAATTATTTTCTGAAGTTTGTTTAAAGTTTCAATCTTTATATATAAAAGTTTTTTTTTAAATACTTCCCCTTTATAATTATCTCATATAAACATAGGATATCTCACAATATTTACATGTGATAATTAAAAATTTATATGATACCTCTCAATACTTAGACTCGATTTGGTTATATTATGAGAAGCCACCACGAGAAGAGGCATAACTAAACTAATTTAAGAATTTTAAAATATATGAAGATCAAAGTTAAAAAATAAAAATGTGAATCTACATTATATATAGCTAGAGTTAAATTTTAATACAATATAAAAAATTATGATTATTTAATTAATGAGTTAAATGATACAAAAAATATTAAATTCGGCAAATAAAAGAGAATTTCTTACTAAATGATGGTATATTTTCTTATTCCCCAAATAAATTTCAATTTGCTTGAAATACTTAAAGAAAGAGGAAGGAAAAAAAAAAAAAAAAGAATAGCGTTGAGGGTAAGCAAACTTCTTCCCCTTTTTTTCTTGCTTTTTGTGGTGGTATGGTTGAAGATAGTGGGAAAGACTTTTGTTTCATTCATACCTCTCATGATAACTTACAGTAGTATATACCTTGTTCATAAATGAATTAAAAAAGCTAGGTTTAGCCTTTTTGTTTAACAACCAATTTGTTCTCTCTGTATAAATATTTATTACGAGAAAATCCATTGTTTTTGCCGTTTAAAACCATTGTATGTTTTAGTCCTCAGGTTAAAACATTTCCAGATAACTAAGTTAAACCCTTTATTTAAAAGAAAAAGAAACCGTACGTTAAAGATGCTGAGAAAAAGCTAAAAAGTAAAAATATACCATCAAAAAATTGCTTGTAGAATATACAGCAAATTAAAAGTTTGATATTGGCAAAGGTTCATGTTAAGAAGTTGATTAAAATTATGCTTCAACCTCTTGGTTACATCACAATGATGTGATGATAGTAATAGTTAATGATAAAATATACACAATCGATAGAATAACAACAATAATAAGAGTTAGAAACACAGAAACGTACAACTGTGTTATTTAGAAGTATATTAAAAAATAAAAACCCATTAACAAGACTAGAAATTGAGTCAAGTGAGACATGGTCATGTTATCATCTGGACGATTATTCCCTTTCCTGTGTTATTTTCGTCGTTTCCTTTGGATTTTCCCTTCCCTACCCAGTTTGATGAGTGCATGATCACACGTGCATGGCTGTTTTATTAGAATAGTTCAAAACAATGAACAGGGTAGCTACCTAGGTAGCTGTTCGATGTTCATATAGTGGCAAATTAGTTCTCTCTTTTTCCTTTAAATCCTGTGGCATGCAATTGCATTTTTCAATATTTTGGTATCTGATAACTATATATGTATCAATCTTCTTCGACATGACAAATGACCTTAACTTTCATTTTGACCAATTTCAAAAGACTCGTTGTATTTTTTGCCTTTTGTGGAACATCAACGTTAAATTAATAAAGAAAGGTGTTTGTGTTGTGACTGAGTATGATTCTCTTTACAAGTCACACTCATCACACGTTAGACGCAATAATTTTTCTCTTTAGGGTAGAAACATGACTTGTCTCTGATTTAAATAGCTGCAGTTTCAAGATTTCAATCTGTCATATTAATCTAGATATTACCAGTTATGCAGAAAAAAACTGATTCATGAACAACCAGTTTTATAGAAGCCTGATCATGTAAACCATAATTATGACAGAGATAATTGTACACCATCAATAGGTATTTTTCTTATAAATAATTCATATATAATTCTGTTTTAAAATAGATACAATAACAAAAGTTTTTCAAATATTTATCACAGTTATATCTGCAAGATTCGAATTTGATATCATTCAATAAATTAAAATAAGTTTTTGAATTAACTCAAACCACACCAATTTAATTAAACGAAGCATAGCTGTATTTTCAGTTAGTCGAAAATACTATCTTGAAGAAGAAACTTTTGGGTCTGAGAAAAGAGTTTTGAAATGAAATGTGTAAATTTACATTGTAAAGTGTGTAGCCACAATAATTAAGTTTTTTTTTTTTTTTATTCAATTCAAATTGAAATTGAGACATCTAAAGTGAATTGTATTATTATTTTGGTGCATGAAGAGAAAGAAATCTTATTTATGAAACAAAATTTTGCAAGGTCAATAAAATTAACAGAAAAAAAAAAACTTCTTTTCTTTCAAACCTTCAAACTTTCTATCTTAATGGTATGTAACATCTGTCATGCCTTATCAACATGGTCTCACTCTAAATTAGTTTCGACGGATTCGCCTTTTACAATTATTGGGATAAGTTTGGATTACATTCAAGTACTTATCCCAATTTACTTTTTATGTTTTTTAGTTATTCTTTTAATATAGATTGCATGTATATCGATATATATATATATATATATATATATATATATATATATATATTTAAATATGCATTATGAAATATATTTTAATTTCACTTTATTAATTTATTTTTTATATGCTAAATAGTGTTATTAAAATTTATATATTATTATATATTATTATTATTATTATTATTATTATTAAAAAACTGTCATTTATTAACAGATACAAATTCCCTATGTTAGTCTTTATTAGTGTAATTAATCTTAATTAGTATATATATTATGCATTATTTTAATATAGATATATTTGAAGTGATAGTATATATCAACAACAATATTCTATACTGATTGATAAAAAGATTTTTGGTATAATATTCTTACTATTAATCATAAACTTATGTATAATTGTTTATAAAAAACAGTTTAATTTTATTAGGCAAAAGTTATATCAATAAAGGCTAATTAATACTAAAGTTTGCTCTAATGTACTGTTAAATAACAATGAAAAAGCTGAAAGATAAATTTGCCAAGAAGAGAAGTTTAGAAACAAGTAAAGCTTGTAAAATTTGGAATGATTTGGATGGGATGGTTTGATGGCTACATGTATGTTGCCTCAACTTGTTACTTCTTTCTGGCTGATTCAGCGTTGCTATACTGCAGTACATACATACGCAGGTTGGCTTCTGATACACACCCGCATATGTTGTAAAAGCATTGGGATATTTCTTACTATAAAATAAACAAACCACCAGAAAAGCTTATTGGATGAGAAAGGATTAGAATAAACCTTAAAACAACAACAATTATGAGATAATCATTCCAAATGGAGATTAACTTTCTCCCACCTCATCATATGTGTCATCATACAACTTTGCTTCACTTCTTCTCCTTTTCTTTGCCCCCTCTTATATCTTTCTCTCTCTCTCTCTCTCTTTCCTCTTTAACTTTTCACCGCCTCCAACAGCATCTTGGCTTATTTTATTTTAATTATTTTATTATATTCCACCTAAAAAGTAGACAATTAAATCAACTGAAATTACATGAGAGAGAGAGAGAGAGATCCAATCTTGCATACAGCAGTTTGTGCTGTTTAGGGTTGGAGTCATATATAATTAACAAGGCTACCTGCCCATTCTCTTGGGTTTTCTCTTAATTCGGCCACTAATACTTCTTCCCTTACTGAACTCTGTGTGTGAGTTTCTTATTGTAAATTGAGTCAAACTTAGAATCTGATCAGAAACAGTTTGAAGATGCTGAGAAAGATGGATGAAGGAGAAATCATCACAAATGCTTTCCCTCAGAACCTAACTGCTTCTGCTGCATCTAATAGTAATAACAATCCTCCTCCTGCTTTGAAGAGGAAGAGAAACCTCCCAGGAAACCCAGGCATGCTTGTTTCTTTGATCTTCAGACTCTCTGTTTTCTCTTCGTTAATATCTCTTGCATAAGCTTTATCAACATAAGTATCATTACAAGAGAAGTTAAAGTTAGTAATGAAATTTATATTTAAGTTTTTTTTTTAAATTCATTAATTTTATTTTGACATGAGTATTAATGTAGAAAACCAGTTTCCATCACTAATTCTTTGATTTTTGCAGTGTATATTCAAAGTTAATTTGCTTTTTCATCAAGAGAAAAGAAAAAAGTTCGACAAATGATTTAATATGTGAATCTTTCTATTTGCACAGATCCTGAAGCTGAAGTCATTGCCTTATCACCAAAGACCCTCATGGCTACCAACAGATTCTTGTGTGAAACTTGTGGGAAGGGTTTCCAGAGGGATCAAAATCTTCAACTCCATCGACGAGGACACAACCTTCCTTGGAAGCTTAAGCAGAGAACGGGGAAGGAAGCAAGGAAGAGGGTTTATGTGTGTCCAGAGAAGAGTTGCGTCCACCACGACCCTTTAAGGGCTCTTGGAGACTTAACTGGGATAAAGAAGCACTTTTGCAGAAAGCACGGTGAAAAAAAGTGGAAGTGCGAGAAGTGCTCAAAGCGATATGCTGTGCAGTCAGATTGGAAAGCACACTCCAAAACCTGTGGCACCAGAGAATACAAATGTGACTGTGGAACTATCTTTTCAAGGTAACCAATTAACTTATTCATCTGAATTTTCTGAGGACAAATCTGTTACCAATCTCATAGGATCAAGTTGTTTGCTTTGTGGAAGTGATAACATGGCTGTAAATAGTGGTCTAAACCCATCTCTCCCTCTCTCTCTCTCTCTCTGGGTTGATGCTTTCTATTTGGCTTTCTGGGGAAAAAAGAGAACGAGGTTAGTTCAAACAAAGGACTTGAAAGAAGCCACATAAGTTTTTGATAAGCCTCAGCCCTAAACGACAAAAGTCCTTGGTTTGGAATTATCTTACCTATTATGTGATTATTAATTCAGTTTTTCCTTGGCAATATATAGTTTGAGATTATAACCCCTATAGGCTAGTTAGTGTCGTACAAATCATAATGTCTTAGTCATGTTATCACGTTACTCCCATTTGTACTTTTGTTGAGCTAATGTTAGAGGAGTTTGTCTTCACCTTCGTACGAATATTGCATTAAAATCCAAAAGTAACTATTTATTACCACGATGCTACCAAATAGCATTATTTGAATGATTAGAAAGAGAGAAACGAACGAAGTTTTACGTCGACACGACTTCCGATACACCAAAACGGAGAAGCAACATTTTATGACTATAAATTATACATAACCTTTGAGTGTGTGTTTATTTTTTTCAAGAAATACTCTAACCAAAAACTAAACATACTTAGACTGGTTGTTACACTGATAAACAAACACACATTTTTAGATTATTATTTTTTCTTTTTATTAATTATTATTATTATTATCATTCATATTATTTTTGGTTATGGTTATCAATACTTTTGGTTGAGCAGGAGGGACAGTTTCATCACTCACAGGGCCTTCTGTGATGCATTGGCAGAAGAATCAGCTAGGGTAAATGCATCATCAGACATGAACACTTCTTTAGGGGGTAACATTGGTTACAACGTAATGGGAACATCCCTAGGCCCTAACATGGCAACCCATTTTTCCTCAATTTTCAAGCCAGTTTCAAACACAGAAGAAACAAGCAATCAAACATCGAGGGGACTACCCCTTTGGATGGGCCAAACATCTTCTCAAGCTCAAGAAACAATGGTCAACAACAATTTGCGTGAGATTCATCAACTTGGGTCTGCCACAAGCTCAGCAACAGCATTTGGTGGCAACTCACTAGTCCAATGCTCAAACTTTCCTCCTTCAAACTATCAACTAAGTTGGGTGTTTGGAACTAAACTTTCTAATAACAGTAACATCCAAGAGCTAACAACCGACACCACTACATCACTTCCCCTAGGCAATTCGAGTGTTCCGTCTTTGTATAGTTCCCAACACCAACCCCACCCCCACCAAACTTGTTCATCAGCAAACATGTCAGCCACAGCTTTGCTGCAAAAAGCTGCTCAAATTGGATCAAGCTCAAGTGACCCTTCATGGCTTGGGAGCTTAGGTTTGAAATGTAATAGCACTACTCAAGGTCAAGATGAAAATAACAGCAACAAGTTTAGTGGCTTGTACGGTTCAAGTTTAGTTCTCAGCACTCTTGGGACTGAACCAGATAACTCTGCATGTGACTTGTCACAAATGCACCCTCCCAAACGTAGACACGTACTCAGTGAAGAAGGTGGAGGGGGGCAGTTTAGGGATTTCCTTGGTGTTGGTGTGCAAAACCATTTGCCACACTTTATCAATCAACGAGTGGATTTGATTTGAAGACTTGTATTCAACGAAAAAATGGTTTTTTCCACACTCATTTGAGAATCCACACTTTGCAAGGAAGATAAAGAGAGTAATAATGTGGTGAAAAAGGGGGGAAAAAGAGAGAGAGACATGTGTAAGTAAAAACAAGTGTAAAATTGGAGTGTGAAAAAATCTTAAGTTGATATTTAATTGTGAAGTTTAAATATCTTGCTTTTTATTTTCTTTCTCTATGTGAAATGGGGGGATAACAATAAAAGAAAAAGATGGATGATGTTGAAGTTGCATTGGAGGAACAGAATTAAGTATCTGGAAACTTTGCAGAGAGGGAAAGGTGGGGATTGAGTGCTTGATGAGGGCTAAAAAGTTTGTTGTTAGAAAACTATTGAAGGGTTGAAAGGAGAGAGATCCATGCATATTCTTTTGAGTGCTGAAAGCTGACCCCTTTTAAAAATGGTGGCTTTAATTTTTTATAAAAGGAGGGACGGTTGTGGAGTAGTGGGGGCAAAGCAAAGGACAAGCTTTGGAGTCCATTATTGCAGAGTTTGTTTCATCTCTGCTGTGTTGTGCTTCATGTCTAGGGCTTAAAAGGAGAATTTCCAGTGACAACAAAAGCATATATTCTAGTACAAATTGGCTTTTAGCCTATAGCTTAAAATAAATTTATGCAAACTTTTCATTCACCTGCAATGCATATTTGTAGCATGACGAGATTGGCTAAATTTTCTAAGCATGCAGAAAAATGGAGCCAAGAAGATCGAGGCATGTTAAATTTTTCACTTAATTTATAAAACCTTTTCTCTTAATTTCTATAACTTTTTCTTGGTTCGCTACCCTCCCCTTCTTTCCATGCACTCAGCGGAAAGTGCGGTAATATATGCCTTTTTCATTGGTCTTTAGAGTCCATTTTATTATATTATGGTGAACGTTTTTACATTTGCAAATTATTTAAGTAAAGGTTTTAAAACACTTCAATTAATACTTGTAAAATAATAATCTTATCATATTGACGAGAAAACAATAGTAAGTTTTATTATCCATATATTTCAACTAACTTTTAAAACAGTACGACAGTAAAATAAATGACGTGTTACTCTTCTAAGATTATATGAACTCATTTCTTTATCAATATTCCTTTCTTGCCCGCTTTCAAACATCACATTTGTTAATTAAATTCTTTGTATTTAACACCACACATTCAAATAAAGTTATGATATCCAGATGTTGAACTTATGATCTTTCCTTGTTTAAGCAATGAATAGAGTTCTTTTAATTAAACGTGTTTTTTCTATTTATTCGAAATGTGTTTAATCAATGAATATTTCTGCCACTTGATTCATGTATGCATCTTCACTTGATGCTACTGTCTCTCGATTTATGAATTCCAATTCATCACGAAATTTCAATGTATGATATCAAAATTTTCCATTGTTTGAAATTATTTATAGAAGCATACAAAACAAAACTATAAAGTTGTTGAATTTGGCAAGTGAAAAAGTTATAATAATAATAATAAAAAATACTCACATTTACCTTTGCATTCCACCGTGCAGCATCACACTGTACAACCTGTTCTCAAAATATCCATACTCTTTTACAACTGCTTTCAAGTATAACTTTTACTATGTTTCTCAAAGTTCTCAACTATTTCTTCCCATTTCTTACTTTCAAATGCAGTTTTTCCATTATTATCACTTTCTATCAATTAAAGTTTTTGTATGGTTTGGATTTTCATTTACTGTTTTAAAATTAGGTTTAGAATTACACATTCTTTATTGGTACTAATTCAGAAATATCTTTTTACATATATTATTTTGGATTTTTTTTTACATCTGATTAAGTTTTACATCTATAAGTTAAGAAAAAAAATAAAAATTTATGAGTATATTTTAAAATGAATAAAAAATTTTAGTCTAATCTGATTTTATGTTATGTCAAGGGGTTAATGGAACAATTTTAGCCTAATTAATTTTTTTAAAAAAATTTACATATCTATACCAAATTAATTAATTTTAAAAAATTAAAATAAAATAATTTTAAAAATTTAAATTTTTCTGATGAAGTTAAGTTTTGTTTAAAATATAATAATTTAATATATAAATTATAAGAAAATACATTTATTCAATCTTAAAATAAGAATTAAAATTTTATTTATTATTATTTATTTTTAGTTATTATAAGATTTATTATGATATTCATTTTTATACTATGAAATTAATTTATAATATATATATATATATATATATATTTTTATTTTATTATTTAAAAAAATTATTATTCTATACAATATATAAAAATAAAAAATATTATTTTATAAAATATATCGAGCTAATTTGACTTTAATCCATATATATCATAGCTTAAATAAACCAGATCAAAATAGATCTTACTCCATGTCACATTATTTCTATTTGTTTATTTTTTAAACATTTTTGCTTCATTTATTGGAATAAATCTATTTTAACACCCCTAATTAAAATAAATAATAAATATAATTTGCATGGGTAAATGTGATACCCAATATAAATCCATCTCGGACTATAAAATAAACCCACATAATTTTAAAGGTATGTTTTCAACTTCCTCGGTTGAATTTTATTTCTTTCATAATAACTAATTCGTTCCTGAGCATATATTTACTTATCGAGAGATAGATCAAGGATCACAAGCTACACATATAAGCTTTGTGACGTATGCCTTATTTTAATATTATATTAATATTACTATGAAAGAAAACTTCGTAACGAAGTTTTCTTCATGCACAGTAAAAATTTTCTTATATATGAATACTGAAGCGGGGGAGGAGGGAATTCAAAAATTTTCCTCTCATCCTTCTTCTTCTATTATCTAAATTTCAAGCAACGAGACTCTACTCGTGCGGGATCTCGGTGAAACGGGAGAGAACTTGAATTAAGTGGGAAAACTTCGGTAGAAATACCATACCAAGTAAGGGGAAGTTTAATTCATTCAATATATGAAATTGAATTGTTGGGTACTCGTGAATAAGGAATAGGAGTAGAGATATGAATTATTGGAATGTCTGATTTTGAAGAATGTCTAATTTTGAAGAATTTCTGATTTTGATGAACTGTTCACCGTTTGAAAGTTTTTTTGAAATTCTTGAAATTAAGGATGAATTATATACTAAAATTGTTGTTTTTAACTTAATTTGAACATGTTTATGGTTAAATTTTGATTTGGAACTAATTTGGGTGATTGAAACTGAGAAATTTGAAATATGGATTTTGAAAATGGCGGACTGGAAAATCTGCAAAATTCGCTCAAGCGAAAAATACGTCGCTTGAGCGAGAATACCTGGAAAATTTGGGATTCTCGGGTCCTTTATCGCTCAAGCGACCGGTGTACTCGCTTGAGCGACGAAGTCTTCAAACAAAGGTGACTCTCGGGTCATGTCTCGCTCAAGCGACCGGTCTACTCACTTGAGCGACGAAGCCTCAAACAAAGGGGACTCTCGGGTCATGTCTCGCTCAAGCGACCGGTGTACTCGCTTGAGCGACGAAGCCTTCAAACACAGGGGACTCTCGGGTCATGTCTCGCTCAAGCGACCGGTGTACTCGCTTGAGCAACGAAGCCTTCAAACACAGGGGACTCTCGGGTCATGTCTCGCTCAAGCGACCGGTGTACTCGCTTGAGCGACTAAGCCTTTAAACAAAGGGGACTCTCGGGTTCCATCTCGCTCAAGCGACGGCGTACTCGCTTGAGCGAGCGAAGGAAGAAGAAAGGGATATGGTGGGGATTTTTTAAAAGATCAAGAGCAAAATAGTAATTTAATGATTTTGGAAATGATTTTAGGAAAAAAAAAAATATATATATATATATATATATATATATATATATAAAGAGAGAGAATGAAAGTAGAGTGTTGTGAGGTGTGTGGGTCGGACTAAGCCCGAGGGTTGATGCCCGAATCAGTCCTGAGACATTATATATTGGCTAGACTGAGCCAGAAGGTTGGTGCCAGAATCAGTCAAATACTAATTTATTGACCCGAATGAGCCGTGAGGACAGGTGGTCCAGAATCCGGCAAATGTGAATAAATTTTGTATGTTTGAATGGTACCCGGAGTGGTACAGAGTACATTAGTGTAATAACTATGTCGGAGGATTCTGAATGAGGTCCCAGACTTCACTGATTGGTCGGGTCAGGTAGACTACGAGATCGGGTGGTGAGAAGTCGATGGGGGGATGACTGGTGGCGCGCTCGGAGGGGTACTCCGAGTATGAGTGATGAAGGGTGCCGGTAATCCTACTCGTGTGGAGGGTGGTCGGAATGGTACTGCGGGTACCGATCACAATGTGCCCACGAGATGATAGCCTCCGAGTTCGGGCATAGTTAGGGTATACTTCGGAAGGTGTCTTAGTGTGTTGATAATTTCGTAATTGATCATAATATATAATTATTACTTCTATATCTGTTTTATTATATCGAATGATTTAATACTTACCCCTATTTTTCCATGTGGATGGGACTGCGATGATCACTTTTATGTGGGAGCGGATCGGGAGTTGAGAGATGGTGATGGGACTACTGGACGACGAGGATAGTTCGGTGAGATAGCTTCGAGGAGCTACTCTTATATGTATAATATATATATATATATATATATATATATATATATGTATACATATATATATATATAAATTATGTTACTATATTTTGAAGTTCTGTAACTGGAATTTCAATATATGTTACAAATACGATAATATAATGTAAAATAAATATTGTTATTTACTTGTTTACTACTTTGCGAAGACATCATTATAGTAGCGATTTCTAGGGTCGTTACAATAGTGGTATCGGAGCGGTAGTATCCTTGTAAATCTGTGGGGATGGGTAGTGAACCTATGATAAGTCCGTTGTGATTATACTCTGATTGTGAGTGCGTGAATGTTTGCTTTGTATTGATGGTTGCGTTTGATATAGGATGGCACCGCGACCTCCTACTCCTATTTCTACTCCACCGAGTGTAGATGCCCTAGCCAGGGCAATGGAAA